AAAAAAAACCTTTTTCGAGGTAAAACACTTCACTTGAGGTAAACTCTTAGGAAAAAAACAACCCACCATTTCTGAGGTAAAACCCTCTTTTTTTTTTTTGAGACGCTTCTCCTTGAGGCGAAACCCCACCACACCTCTTCTTGATGAAAAAACGAAATCCCAAACCTACTTTTATTGATTTTTTCCCCCTCAGACCCCGCCCCCCACACACACCATCTCATCCGCCAGCTCCTCCTCCGCCGGCGGCCGCAGCGGCTCCTCGTCGCTGTAAATGGCGGCTGCGGAGGAGAAGGAGGGAGCGGGGCCGGGGCCGGGGCTGGGTCCGTGCCCGCGGTGGCGCCGGCGGGTGAGCAGGTCGGCGGCCGCGCTCTCCATCTCGTCCATCGTCATGTCGCAGGCGTCGGCGATCTCCCGCTTGGCCACCGCCACAAATTTGGGGTCGCGGGCGAACAGACCCAGCCCTTCCGAGATCAGCACCTTGAAGGGAGGGGGGGGACGTGGTGCCGTCACCAACCTGCGGCCGGGTTTCTGTGTGTGTGTCCCCCCAACCCTCACCCTTCCCCGGTCACTCACCGCTTCCACCAGGCTGTCGGCCGAGCCGCGGGCCAGCCCCTCGCAGGGCCGCAGGTGGAGGGAGCCGGGGGGGCCGCGCTCCCCCAGGAACCAGCGGGAGAGCGGGGGGAGGCTCCCGCCGCCGCCGCTCCCTCCGGCCGCTGCTGCTGGGGGAGGACCCCCCTCCACCAGGATCAGGGGGGCGTAGAGAACGTGGCCGCGGGGGGGGGCGCTGGCCCAGGCCTGCGTGGAGCCCCCCAGGCGCCAGGTGTCGGAGCTGCTGTAGCCCTGGGGGGACACAGGAACGTGTCAGTGTGTGTCTGGGGGGGGGATATGTGTGTCCCACCCCCAAGAGGTGGTACCTGGGGCCGGGCGGGTCCCGAGGGGGTGTAGGTGCCGGGGATGGGCTCGTCCTCGCAGCTGCCCTGGCGCCGCAGGCACTGGATGGTGAAGGAGGGCTTCCGGCCTGGGGGAAGCCACGCCCCCCTCTCTCTGTTAGCCACGCCCCTCACTTTTTCCAGAAGCCCCACCCCTTCCAACAAGCCCCTCCCCATCAGCCCTACTCTCTCCCTTTAAGCCCCACCCCTCCT